ATAAGCCCGGCAAATAAAGCCAGCGATGAATAGATATGCAGATAGATTGAAGATAGAGATAAATTGAGTCAAGCGAACAGTAGGCACCGTAAGTAAATCGCTGTGATTTATAGCGTGTGTTATAAAGGATGTTGAGTTTAAAGTGAGTGTGGAAATTCTGTGTATTACAAAGTTGTATCGAGAAAGAATAAACTAGTTTTAATTAAGAAAGGACTTGTATCGCTGAAGTTCCTCGGAAAAAATTTATACCGGAAATTAACAAACGAGCAGATATGCAACAATATCATTCATACTCACGTGACTTCAACTTACATAACATTATAATCAACCGCGCTTCAAAAATATTTAATATTACCTACTTAGAACTTCGAACATAACTTAAAAAATAAAAATAAAGTAAGAAAAGTTTCCAATATAAAAGTGTAAGAGATCATATTTTTAAAACGATATTGTACTTATGTTTATGATGAACTCTCAAACTTCACGATCTGTGGTGTTTTTTGTCATTTACAATTACATACTATGTTTTGGGCATTCATGAAAACTGGATATTCGTGTGAGATTTTATTGGGTGAAATGCTTTTCATATATTATTTCAAGATACTGAAAACGAGTTTTAACATGTTGTTGCTTTAACGTTAAATTAGCAAAATTATATTTTTTGTCGATACACTCTCAAACATTCATCTTTCTTCTCGTCATAACCTCTACCAAACTAGCTTAAAAGATTATAGTTCTTACCATTAATACTCATCATAAGACAATATTGTTACGCCTCTGTGTTCGTTTGTTATTTTCCGTAAAAATTCTTTCCGAAGAAACTTTAGCGATACAAGTCCTTTCTTAAATAAAACTAGTTTATTCTTTCTGAATACAACTTTGCAATACACTTAATTTCCACAGTCACGCTATAATTCACAACGAACGACTCACGCGCTTGACTCAATTGTCCGTCTCTATCTCTGCAATTCAATTACATTGTTGCCGTCACTTCTTGACGGTCTTATATACAAGAATACCGCACATCTAGTAAACACTCGAGGCTTCACGAAGGGACATGAATTTTCTAGAAGCTCATGACGTGTTACAGCGTCACGTGACTTCCGCTGTCGTAACAATATTTTCAAAAATTCATTAAGCCTAATACTGTTACTTTAGAACTCCAGTAAGCCCAATACTATCGTCTTATCTTTAAAATTTAGTAAGCCATCTTCCATTGTTAATTCTCTACTTTAAACTAAATTACAATCACACCAGTGATCCCTAGTGTAATGAAGTTTGCTCCTCAGAAGGAGCAAAGAAATTCCACCAATCAGGCGTTGAGACGTCACACTTGAGTATCTTATCTGTTTGCAGATGCTGTAGTTCATATTGTCACCCCAGATTTTAAAATTTTAATCTGTCATATTTGTCATAAAACAATCGTATTAGGCTTACCGAATTTTAAAATAAGCATTAAACAATGACTGTTAAGTTAAAAATACTTTACTGGAATATATGTAAGGTGAATTAACAGTTCTGATTTTCCTATTGTTGTGATGTTTGTATGGACTATCGAAAATCTGTTGCCATAGGGTGTTTAGGTATATTGAAGAACATTTTTCACT